CCAGCACGCCCCCCCCCAAATCAAGGTGGAAATGGCTGTACTCTTTAGAATTTGGACCTGCAGCATCAACCAGGTCCTTCTATAAAGATGACCTCATGAACCTTGGTTTACCTGCGTGTGGATTTTTCAGATGAGACCTCAAAAATTGAAGTCCTGTCTGCTGTGTGTAGGCATTTGATATTTGCTGAAAGCCTCTGGCTTACAGACCCGGATAGTTGTTTAGACCAGGGGGCTTGATTTGGGGGGTCATCTATTTATGAACTGTTAAGCATTATTATTTATTGTTTCTAGTGGTACCCATATCTGTGTCAAGTGGGTCCCCAACTGCCAGAACAGACACAACTTAGGGGGAAGGGTACAACATGTTAATGAAAGATCCAGGTGAGTTAGGTCTCATGTTGACAAAATTAAGCTAATTTGTATACACATGATGATTAAATTCTTCATGTGAAACAGCAGAAATGAATCTTCAAGAAGAACTTCAATGCCAAAAAGATAGGGACTTTGTGGATGAGTTCAGAAAGGATTTTCAAGGCAGAGTTATATAAAAAACTGATAAATAGACCTTCAAGGCTATCCCCGTTATCAGGGAAGAAGATTCAGAACAAGATGAAGATAGATAAGTAGAGAGGACCTGAGGTTTTTGAAAGCAGTGACGTGAAGTTGAATTTAATTTGTTACTACTAGGAGTACCAGTAGAGAGATCCTGAAGGTTAGTGTGTGACATTTAATCAAAACACTGAACAGGAAGGATGACTGTAGCAGCAGCATTTTGGATGGACTAGAAAGGGCAACACAGTATATGGGAGGATGGAGAAGCAGATGTTATAGTAAATAAGAAAGGTTGGGAACTTGAATGGGAGAATTAGCAGCAGGGCAAGGAAGTGAAGAATAGATTCAGTGGTATTTGTGGATAAAGAAGCCCCAGAATTTGAAACTGTAGAAGTTGTACCTTCCTTCAAAACAGGGCAGGCAGCAAGGAAGTCGTGGAACCTGTTGAGGCTGCCTATGGAGCTCCTGTAGGATAGACTTTGGTTAGCAAGCAGCATGCGTGCCACTTTCTAATGTTGTGAAGTTTTTACAGAGTTTAACTGTGTAGATACTTTATGGATCTACACTACTTCATTATCACATACATGTTGGTCTGTGCTATGGTCTGACTTGCAAGCTAAGTGGAGTTGGGGCTAGTTAATATGTGGCTGGAGACATCTGAAAAAGATCAGGTACTTCAGGAATCAGCACTAGTGTTTCAATTAGTGATGCTCTCTTCTCTGAATCAGTACTGAATGCAGCACCCAACCACTGTTATGAATTTATGCTCCCTTTTAGAATAAGACCTATAACTGAGGCTCATCAAAAACCTAACAAGGCTTTTCTGCAGGAAATGTCAAGAGGAATGGCAACTCAAGTCAGTTTTCTCTATCGGTTGAATTGCATATAGCCTCAGTTACAGAGTATTCCTCACCTTCTCTTCCGTTGCTGTGTGCTGTTAAATAGTTATCCCATTTTACCCTAGAAGTGACTGCATTTCAGTGGTGGGTGAAGAAATCTCTGTATGTGCAGTTTGTAAAGGACTTTGAAATTATGCAGGATTGAATACAATTTTGATCAACAGCTATAATGACTACAGAACTGTAGAGGGAGTAAATCCATCTGTACTTTGATCCATCTTACTGGACACAATGAGTCTAGGAATTCACTTATTTTATAAAAGACAGCAAAAGTTGAGGGGTAAAGACAAAGAAACAATTGGTTCCCTACACGCCCTGTTTCTGACGGCTTACAATGCTGTAAAATGAGTTGCTTTATTAGTAACAATGGAAAACTGGTACAAGTGGGAGAGAAAGCAGAGCCAGAGCATCCTGGGGCATGCTCTGTCATTCCAGCAGGAAGTTTCTGTGGCAAACTGCACAGCAAAGGATTCTTATAAACCAGGATTCCTTCAGCTAGAACCTCAAGCCAAGAGACAGACTCTTAGTACTTACAAGGACAGGGACATGCAGTTGAGTTAGGACGACTTCCCTGGGGCTTGAGATGATCTTCAGCTTGTGGCATAATAGTTGGAGAAGGAAATGTGACTAGGCCAGGAGTCGAAACCTCTCTTGAGTTTGAAAATCCATCCAAAGCTGGCTGAGTTAGCCCCTAGCAGGGTTGCCTATTATCCCATTTTCAAAGTTACGGCATTTCTGGGTGCTGTTTGCAGTGCTGGTGTAACCCCATCCCTTGCATCCTGCTGCATGCTTCCCACTGGATGTGATATCCTGTGACTGGTGTCAGTGTCTCCTTTCTTACCCACCCCTGCTTCTCCTGCACATGTCCAGGTTTGAAGCTTCTGCATGACATCTGGCAATGATGATTTATTTTGTGGGTAACCTTTGCTGAATGACTCTGCTTTGAAAAAGCAGAGAATGTTTTTCACCTCCTTATGCCTTTTGTTTGTATTGTTTGTTTATTTGGTTTTGGTTCAAAAAAGCTGAGATTTGCTTAGAGATTTTCCAACTTCCTGTTGGCTTCTTTGACATGAAGCCCACCCCCTCCCCATCCTTGCCACCCCCAAAGGAAACGGGAAGTGCTGCCTCTGTCTCTGAAGCAACCAGCAGCCTACATCGTAAAAATCCCAGAGAAATCCTAACGTGCAGGAAAAGCCTATTTCCATGACCTTTAGCGGAGGTAGAAAACCTGTTCCTGTTAACGTGAAGCCACTGACATTCACAACAGAAAAGTCCCTTATAACATTAGGAATCTGATTTGCTGCTGTCTTTCTTCAGCCTTTCACCAGGATAGCTCCATTCATCTCAATGGCCCTGTAAGCTTGAAACAATGCTGTGGTGAATCTAACTCACCCCCCTCAGTATTTGACAGCACCTGTCAAAGTGCATGTGGAACAGTTTCCAGTGGTGATTCTGTATGGTTTGGGCTGATTCCTGTAGCATGTTGTCACTGTTCTTTATTTGTAAGAATTGAAAAGCCAAACCAGACTTAAACCCACAGATGCACAGAGATCAATAAAATTGGTGCAATATGGATCTGAGTCAGATGAGAGACACTGCTAAAAATGTAATCCCAAATAGCAGTGATGGTACCAATAATAATGGTGAGGAGGAGGTCAGGAAATCCCAGTTGAGGTTAAATTGGTCAAACTGAATTAACACAAAAATAAAAAATTACTTAAGGAGGCTGGGAAGGGAAGGATAGGAGTGGACCTAGATTTGAGTCTCAATGCCAAGGTTGAGTTAGGCCTCAGTCTTTCATGGAAAAGCACATGGACGCTGCCCTATTTAATTCAATGCAAGTTTGGGGCCAAGTCGTGGCTTCAGTAAAATAAAGGATAGTGACACCAGCTCCTTCCAGAAGCAACACGGGATTAACTTGTTCCTGCTAAGTGTTAAACAGATGCTCTTAATAATAAAGGGGTCCAGCTATTGTTAGTATTGCATGGCTTCTAGAGGCCATGATCAGGGATCAAAGCTCCTTTGTCCCAGGTGCTGTACACACAGGTGAAAAAGCAGTCTCTGCTTTTCTTAGGAGAGAGTGAAACTTGTGTCTTATTGCACTGTGCAGCATTTGGCCACTGTACTGCCAGAGCACCGCTGTAGGCTGTGGTATTTGTGAACAACATCCTGTTCCCATTTAAATCAATGGTAAACTCCAAGTGATTTCATTTGGACCAAGAGCTGTTGAACCATTTAACTGTAGTACATTTTTGTTATAAGGAAAGTGCTTTCTGAATGCCAGGTGGGTGTCTGTAGGTTTCCATCTGCTAGGTAGCCTGCTCTGGTGGGTTTCATATGTGCAGTCTCAGTGGATTTATTTATCCCCTTGAACTACAGGTAGTGATGTCCCTCCACTCCCTTCTGTTTGCATGCTGCAAACTGAATTTCCTCCTCATGGCAGGAAATAAATTATCGTTGAAAAAACAGACATAGGAGTGACACAAATACAGGACTTTATTCTGCACTGTCTTGTACTGGTGCAAAGGAAGTGCAGAGTGGATATAAGGAGGCAGGTCTTAGGTCCTTGATTTCTACCCATTGCATTGCACAGTGAGCAGCAGGCCAGTGGATTAGACCACAGTTTGACAAAATAAGACCCACTTTAGTCATCTTCACTCACCCACAAGGCTTCCTCTAAGAGATCCTAGCTTTCTTATATTGCCAATGAGATAATGAACTTTTTCAGAGAGCTAGCAGCTTGGTTTCTTGGGATAAAGCTAATAGTGGGGCCAAATAATAAAACTAAGGACTTCAGTGTCCTCCCAATGTTGGGCATGTTCAGGGCTGGGGGGTGGGTATGAGTGCCTTCATAAGGAGAATAAGCTGAGTTTGCAGCAGGTTTGGTCTCCTGAAGGAACAGGGTGGTTAATACAGAGGAGAGAAGCACTTCTCAGAGAAAGCTCAAAGCAGAATGGGCAGGGATCAGGAACTTGGAAAATCTGTCTGCAGTTCTGGCTTTCCTGTGCCTTTATCCCTCCCTGACCCCTGATGCAGTTTGGGAGGAGTGTTGCTTCCCAGCCCCAGGCTGCTTTTCCCACGTGTGTGTGGTTTTTTTTCTCTCTCCTGCAGCTCAGTCAGTACCCTCACCTGCGGGAGGAGATGGAACGGATTGTTACTACCCACATTCGAGAACGAGAAGGCAAGACAAAGAATCAGGTAGGGGAGTATAGGCTCACTCAAGGGGAGGACAGGGAGGGGAAACCTTCAAGGGAACAATCTGAGATATAAAATAGAGACTGGCCTTTGCTCTGAAGTTGGGATCTGGAACTGCACTTCTTCAAGCTCAAGAGCACTTGACCACAAAGAACTTAAGGGAACTGTGAATATGGCTTATTGGCTAGTCCCACCCATCTTCTGTTGCATAGGTATTGTCTGTCCTTGGTCTCTCACTTGCTCCAGTTGTCTTTGCCCTACAGGTCATGCTCCTGATAGACATTGAGTTGGCATACATGAACACAAACCATGAGGATTTCATTGGCTTTGCCAAGTAAGTGCCAATACACTCTATTACCTTCTTTCCTCCTGACCTCCTCATCTGCTGCCTAACTGTTCTCCTAGGTGGGCTGATGGCAGTTTGTCCACAAGTTTTGATGAGGGATGGTGGAATAAGGCCTTTGACACAGGATGCTAAGCGAGAAAATAGACCTTTCCTAGAGGGGTATGAGCAGCTCGCAGAGTATAGTCCTGACCACTCCCTGTCTTCATGTCTTCCTGCCTCCCCACCCTCAAGGCCAGCTGGCTTCTCAGTTGACGGGAGGGAGTGGGGGTTGTGTGTGGCACTTCACCCTTGCATGCTGTTTTCTTAGCTTCCCTCCAGAGTTTGGGAAGCAAGGAGTGACATTCAGGCTCTCTCATGGTATTGCAGAGTGATCACTAATGGTTGGAAATTAAAGAAACCCAAAGCTAGTGCAAGCTAAATTTTGAATGTCTCATATATTGTTTTGTAGTGCTCAGCAGAGGAGTAGCCAGATGAGCAAGAAGAAGGCAGCTGGCAACCAGGTAAGCAGAGTTCCCTCCTATTTATTTCTGTAAGACAGATACATATTCAATTGGACAGACCATCACTTGAATGGGTATTGAGCCAGATATAGCAAAACTTCAAAGGTGTAAAGAGGTGGATGGGGAGAATATTAGAGAGCCACTTTTCAGTCCCAGAGAAATCGGTGTGATTACTATTAGGGCAGCTGGTGAGAGGAACAAAGAGGGAAGCACTATGAACGTATGTGGACTGTCCATTCTGTGCAGGAAAAAGTGATAGTGGATTTAGCGATATAACCTCACATGCTTTATATGGGCAGAAGGAGCTTCACTTCACGTACACTCCCTACTGCTTTATGGATAATGGTGGACATCAAACCTAATATCCATACATGACTCATTTACTTCTCCCAGCTGTGCTGACCTTTTGCAGAGGTGAGAAATGGAGACAAACTCTCTGAATTTGTGGGCGCAGATGCAAGTTCACAATAAAAAATGGGGGACAAACTCTCTCAAATGGGGCTTTTAAAGCCAGCTTCTCAAGGGGACTTTGGCATTCATCAACCATGCTTAGGTAGGGCATCCTTGCAACGGAATGCATCTTTGGGAGAGGAGAGCAAATGGAGAAAAAAGGAACTGCAAGGAGCATGCTTGCTCTCAGAATCCAGGAGGTTAGAGATACCTTCCTCTCCTAGAGCTACTTGGAGAATCCCAAGATTATGTAAGCTGGAAGATCCTACAGAAAAAGAACAGCAGTAGGCGAATGCAGGCAAGAGTCCTACCCCAGGCCCAAATGCTCATCTGAAGTGAACTTTCCTCAAAACATGTATGCCCGCCTTTCCATGAGATGCAGTTAGAGTTTCAGAGCTCCTGGCAGGTAGGCTGGCAGGTTCAGCTGGACCATTGTCCATTCTACTGAGGCCATTTTGAAGGGTTTTACAGGGTAATTTCTTAGCTGCAGGGAGCTCTATCCTCAAAGCACCAACAGGTAACTCACCATTACTTTCTGAAGGGCTGGGTCTCAAACAGCTCTAAGAGTGAATTCATTTCTATTTTGGGTGTGGATCAGCATATAAATAGCTTTTGCTTTCTTTTTCTTTAGCAGATCTTATTTTGGGATGCGGGGTCTTTGTTGGTTTTGCGTTTGAGGTGCTAATTTGGTAAAAGATTCAGATTAATTTTTGAGCTTTTTTTTCTTCTGCTCCTGCTTTCCTAGTAACAATATCTCCTCTCTTTGCTCCTCTTTTTTTCCTCTCTGCTTTGCTGCTGTTGCTATGGTTCCCCTTTGCAGGATGAGATCCTGGTGAGTAGAAGGCCTCTCAGCAGGCTGTGCTAATGAGCATCAACATTGCGTCTGGAAAGGCCAGGAACAGCACTTAGATCATTCCATCTGTTACAAAAATGGGGGGAAGTGGTAGCTAATATTAGACAAAGATGAAATGGAAATGGGGAGCATTTCCTTAGCTTTCAATAGAGAATATAAGTGGAGGTCATTCAATACAAAATCAAGATCCAGGTTTAGCTTCAGTGTCTTATTCTGTTAGCGAAGGGAATTGAACCATTGTGAATTTTAACAATGCATGTGAAGGGAAGGATGGGCATCCATGTACTCTTAAACACAGATATATGTAATGAATGCACCGGCATAGGCAGTGTATACATATTTATTAACTTTCAAACACCAGTATGATCATGTCTAATATTTTTAATGTACAAACTCACTTTTAACATGTACATATGCTCTACTGTATATATAGGCTAATGCACACATATACAGTAATGTATACACACATACATAAAGCATGCGATGACACACACTTGCAGTGGTGCACATAATCACTTAAATATATAACCCACATATCTATATAAGCTATTGTGATCATGTATTCTTTCTGCTAATTCAGGGATGTTCAACCTCTGGCCCATTGGCCAGATCCGGCCCCCAGAACCATGTAATCTGGCCCACGGGGCTTCCTTTTGGATCTTTAGGGAGCCTGGAAGGCTGTGGCTTTTCACACTAGATCAGGCATGCAGGCTTGTGTGGGGCCTGATCCAAACATGCAGAGCTGGGCAGAGGGGGCTGGAGCCCTGGATCGTGATCCTGGCCAGGCAGGGATGGTGCAGGGCCCCAGGTCTCAATCCCACCATACAGAAGTTGCGTGAGGCCTGATCTGGCTCACAGGCTGGCCCTACACCATTCATCTGGCCTGTGGGCCAAAACTGTGAGCATCCTTTGTGTCACGATAAACTCATATCGATTTAGAGTTTCAGGCTATCCTAAATAAGTCTCTTAGCTTGTTTACATAGGTGAATTTATATACCCATATACACTAATGCCCGCCTATTTGCTAACAAACACATACATCCACCTAATTAGTCTCATATATTTGAATCTTGTGCATGAATTCCAGATGCACCTTTGTCCCCAGATGCTCATGTCTTCTTGTGTTGCTAAATTATTTGGTTCTTACTTGCCTGCTTTGCTTTTCCCCTTGAATTGCCTCCCACTGTGCTCTGTGAAGCACTCCACTTGAGACCCAAGTAGTGGGAGAGCTCCTCATGCCTGGAATGCTGAATGGTGTGCTTCCTTCATCGATCTTTTTAGGTGTGGTCTTTTCCACTTATAAGAAAAGTGTTCCTGTAACTTGGTTTCCAAGGATTGTGCCAAGGTCTGAGGTTCTTTCTGCTGTAGTTCTTCTTCCCCTTATCTCCCTTTCTCTTGTCTTTGGCAGAGGGTGTAGGCCCCAGGACAACCAGGTTGTCTCCTGTCTCTCCTTTCTTGCCTGACACTTCTGTTTGGACACAGGTCCAGGCTGACTAGCCTGGGAGCACCAAATGATCAAGGGGCTTTTGGGAGGAATAGAGAGACTGGTAGTTTTGGTCTTGTTGGTGTTGGTCTGTGCCTGTAGGGACACCCTCTGCTCTTCCTCACTGTTTGGAGAGTTAGGCTACTGGGGCCATTTTAATGCTGGTGTCTTCTATTTCTTCAGGTGATCCGGAAGGGCTGGCTCACCATCAACAACATTGGGATCATGAAGGGTGGCTCCAAGGAGTACTGGTTTGTCCTGACTGCTGAGAACCTCTCATGGTACAAGGACGATGAGGTGAGTGGCTCAGTCTCCAGGTTGTTGTGACTTTGTGTCTTCAGAGCCCAGTTCTCAGAGGAGCTGAACATCTTTCAACTCCTGCTGACTTTAGTGGCTGAGCATTTTGCAGGATAAGTTCCATATATCTGCTGAATGTTATTGGTACATCTGTGTATTGAATACCAGCTTCTATAAAGCAGCCTACACTTTTACCTGGAGTGATCCCATCTATCCACATCCATCTTGTCCCAAGAGCACATGCCACAGGATGAGGGGCTGTAATTGGGGTTCCATGTTGTCTTGCAAGATGTGATGCGAATCCCAAGGAACTTTGGGTGAAACTTGGGATGGAGGGAAAGGAGGGAAGCAGTTTGTGCAGTGCAGTGAAGTCCTGCACAGCAGGCACATCCTGCACATGTTAGCACTGAAACCATTTCTGTCCCCTCCTTTCCCTGCATCCCACGAATTTTGAATCTTGTTTTAAGCTCTCAGTAGAACCTTGACTTTGCTGCACAATTGGAATGAGGATAGTTTCTTTTTAACTATGAAGGTCACTACATTAGTTTGCATGTAGCTTGCCTGACAATGGAGAAGAAACACAATTGGAATTACTGCTTTGGAGTCCATGGATCAGTGGACAGCACTTTTTCTGCCTGTGGCAAGTAGACTCATTGGAGGGATGGATGGGTATGTACTCTGAGACCAAAGGCCTTGTGGTACTTTTAGAGGCAGCTGTGGTGATTTATTGAATAGGAAAAGTGGTTGAGCTTGACTTCACTTTTTGGTCTCAAAAGAGATGTCTGACCTAGTTGGGTGAGCACTAGAGTGGGATCTGTGGGTTTAAAATCCTAACACAGATACTGACTGCACCTATGACTATGAGTAAGTAATTTAATCTCTCCATGCCTCATCTTTTTTCTCATCTGTAAACAAAGAATGTTTGTTGGGCTGAGCAATTAATTCATGTTTTTTAAGTCTAATGAATGTGGAAGTTCTGAGTATTGTTATTAGTAAACCATAATGGAATATGCAGAAGATAGCTTGGCAAGTAGTGTGGACCTGCAGCATACAGTTGCTTTAAAAACATATCCCTGAATGTTGGGAATCCTTGCTTTCCAGGATTTTATTTACCATTCAACCAGAGATGCTAGCTGCCAGAATAATGTCTTACTTGTAGTTAATGTTGTTATTTATTCATTGGTGATCTACAATATGTCACTCCATGTACAAGAAGTAAAGAAAGAGAAGATCTTTGCCCCATGCTTCTGAGTAGTGGGAAAAGTAAGATAATCAGAATGGTATGATTTTAAGAGTGTATATTACACAATGAATACAGATGTGGCAGTAGAGCAGTTAAGGCATCTCACTTAAACTCTGCAGATGCACAGTAGTTTGAAGCCTTGCTTTTGACTGATATTGAAGATGTAGCTGTAAATGGATACCTGGTCCTTCAGGCCATGGAGGCAAGGATTGCTGGACATGATACAAGCCACATCACTCCCTTGTGTGCTGTTGGCTACTAAATCTGGTGTACCTTAACCACACTAGTGTAATGGACTTTTAGACCCAGGGCAGCACTTGACCCTATCACCAAATAGTGTCAGGGTCAGAAACACCTTGATGGATCAGTACAAATGCTTTCAGGTTAAGACTAATTTGCTTTTCTAAGCACTGGTTCCAAACTGCTAGTCAGAAAGAAAAGAGGCCTTGCACCTTGTACCACTATTTGCACCTTAGCAAGATGTAACCTGCTGCCAGGCCAGAATTTTTTAGTTACTTACATCAGTGGGGATGTTTAACACTGGCTTCGCACAAAAGGAAACAACAACACAATACAGTAGGGAATTGGGTCCCAAATGTCACTCCTGCAAATGAGCTAGTTAGCCTTAGTTTGACTGGGCAAACACCAATCACCTAATTAGCAAGGGACTGAGAATGAGAATGTCCTTTCCTAAATCTTTGTGATCTGTTCCCTCATATAGAGCTGATTGGCATAACAGTGCCATCTCATTGTTATTTGTACAGATCAGATGGTTATAAGGCTTGAGTACTGTTTTAAATTAAAATCGGTTTCTGCATCTGGATTTCAGAGATGACCAGAGCCCCCTGTTTCTCTGCCCCAGAGAGGAAGAGGGCTGTGATTGAGGGGCATAATCTATGTTAATAGACCCCAGCTGTATGGGACAGGGAATGGGCATCCCTTTTATCCAGGGGAAAGGCAGCCTTGGGGGTGAATAACAGCTGGAGGTCTGCACTGCTTCCCTTCTGCATGGCAAGAGGCAGAACCGCCTAATTAAAACAGCTCCTACCAGCCAGCATCCCTTAAATAAATGCAGGGAGACCCAGTGCTGACGAGGCAGGAGCAAGGCGGGAGAAAGAAGTCTTTGTTTAAACAGGGACAGGCGTGGAAGAGAAGGGGGAGTATGTTTTCATTTCTGATTTTTTTTCTTTTT